AAAATGACTCATGAGAAAAAGTACCCGAAGTGATTAATCGCTTTTGAGCTCATACTTTTGGCACATAGAGAGAATCTCTAGACTGGAATAACCTCAAAAAGGATTCGGGTCTATGATCTTTATAAGCTGAGATATTGAATTTTCAAGCTCAATCTGATAAGAAGAATTTTGATTCTCTATTGCGATTATTTTGTAAGCACAAATGTACTGTTAACAAGAAATTTTATGATAAACTGATTGCATCATCAGTAAATTACTATGAAATTTCCAGAGTTTATCTCATTTCTAGTCTAAAATGGACCGCAAAAATTTAAGACACCTTTATTTTTGAAGTTTTTCATTGAAGATGAGTAGTTAGGTCAAATCCAAATAGTGATTTGGATAGCTCTTAAAATTCTCCATCGAATAGAATATGTGTCAAATTTTCAAAAGAAACTTTGTGAAGAGACTTTTCCAGAAAACCATGTCAGAGGATTTTGATAGAAAGATTTTTCAATATAAGCATCTAAAAGAGCAGAAAATTCTGAACAAAATGAAGGATCGCCCGGCTCTGTACAATATCCTGTCACAAAGTTATAAGCATTAGACAAAACGCAAAAAACGCGTTTTTCATCAAAAAAAGCCGTAAAATCCGATAAAAACCACATTTTTTCGTTTTTTCTGATGCTTATAACTTTATGACGGAATATCATACAGAGCTGGGCGATCCTTCATTTTGTTCAGAATTTTCTACTCTTTCAGATGCTTATATTAAAAAATCTTTCTATCAAAATCCTCTAGGACTTGAATCTCGAAAACTCTCTTCACAAAGTTTCTTTTGAAAAATTTGACACATATTCTATTCGATAGGAAATTTCAAGAGCTATCCAAATCACTATTTGGATTTGACCTAGCAACTCATCTTCGATGAAAAACTTCAAAGCAGAGTAGCTAACAGCAATGATTGCATTGAATATTAGATTCTTATCTTCTTGGAGTTTCTAATACTTTATTGAGAGTGTAAACTCGAAAAATCTTAATTTCGTACATTGCTAATATATCTTAATTTCATTTATGAGAACTTCTACATATAACAATAATTGATTTATATGTTGTTGTTTTTTTTTTCTTTTAAGTGGGAATAGCTCATTATATGGACAATCTCGAAATTTCAATAAAAAAACAAATACAAAATGAATTAATACGAAGTCGTAATTCAATGATTAAAGAAATTCGTCGTGAATTATTTGAAAAAATGACACATGCTATGAAAAGTCAAGGAGTGTAAGTTAAAAAATTTTTCGATTACAAAAAAAAAAAATAAATAAATCTATTTCATTTTAAAAATTAACTCTAGACCAGATACAACAATTGATATGCATGTATTTGAATTAGATCGTCTTCTATCACAAATGGCTCAAGATTGTTTAGATTCATTAAGTTCATCTTCATCAACATCATCATCAATATATTCAACAATATCATCATCATCAAATTCAACATTAATAACACCAATACGTCAAATAACTAATCGTACAATAATATATGATTCTTCTTTAACATCAACATTAACAAAATCTAAAACATTAGAAAATAATTCTACACCATTAAGAAAATCAACTGAATGTTTACATATAACACCAAAACATATTGCACCATTAGCTCCACATTGTCATATAACACTTGATAATGATCGTCGTCCAAAATCAGCATCAACTATATTATTAGCTAGTCAAAATTCAACAACACCAACAATATTATCACCACGTACACATAAATTTCAACGTCCAATACAACAAAAAAATTTTAAAATGAAAATGTATCGTAGTGAAGATGATATTATGTTAGCTATACAACGTCATGATGAACGACAAGAACAAAAATCTGATTTAGATGATAATGATGATGGTACAATAACATTATGTGAACATGATATTGAAGAAAAACAACATCAACAACCAAATGTTCGTGCATTAGCAAGACAATTTGAACAAAAAACAAATATATTACCTGATAATAATCGTATGAAATTAAAAATTTCTGATAATAATAATCATCATCATCAAACAATACATTATGCAACAGCACGAACAATTATTAATGAACAACAAGAAGATAATAATAATGAAGATGATGATGATGAATTAACATGGCCACAACAACAACAACAACAACAACAGCAACAACAACAACAAACATCAACACATAGTGGAATTAAAAAATTTGTACGTCATAGTTTAAAACTATTTACTACGCAATCACAACAACAACAACAACAACAAAATAAAAAAATAGGAAAATAATTTTTGTTGTATACATTTTACTTTGACTTTTCATTGTTGTTTTGTTATTATATGAATATATATATTTTTGGTTTTCTCATACGATAGATTCTTATTCATTGAATTACTTCTTCTTCTTCTTGATAGATTGGTAGATATATGTCTTTTTTGTTGTATCTCAGGATGTAATCATGATTGATGTGTTTTTTTGTATTCATCGCCGGTTTTCTTTTTTGTTTTAATGTATTATCCGTCCACTTGAATTCAACAGTTCGACTTTTTCTTTTTTCAATTGTATAATCATATTATTGTTTATTGCTGAATTAAAAGAAAAATAAATGCAAATGTCTTCAAAAATGATTAATTCAATGTTAAGAAACACTGGGATGAGATTTTTTTGTAGCGAAATTGATAGAAAAACCTATTATCCATCAAATCTCGTTAGGGTTCGACTTTTGGTTTTACTCGTCAAATGGTTAGGCAATAAAAAAAAATCTATGTACAGGTTAACCTCTCTGCACTATCGGAATCGGTCAATAGTGCTTACTTTACGAAGGCATTCAATTTCTTTTGTGAAAACTACCGCGTGGCCCATAAATAATTATACTGTTAGTATTTTCGAAATTTCTACTCTATTATCGCTTTGACTAAAACACTTTTTTTATCAAAAGATAGCGCTTGAAATTCTCTACAAAACTATATATAACTAGATCCTAAAACTATTTTAGATATATTTGAAAAAAGATGAAAAAAATAACGGGATGGACATAATGAATGGTCACGCTTTGCATCCCATTTTTTCATCACTTACTTTGTCCTATTAGAAAAACAAAATATACCAAAAGGTGCAGCGTGAAAAGCTCTACAATTTACATAAGGTCACCTATTTTATAGTTGCACTTTTTGTTTTCAAAATGGACAAAGTTTTGAGCGATCAAATTTCGACCGTGCGAAAATGATATTGGTTTTTGGTACAAGATGACTTCGTTTTTTTATTTCCTCTTTTTATAATTTGTTCCTTGTAAATTGTAGAGCTTTTCACGCTGCATCTTTTGGTATATTTTGTTTTTCTAATAGGACAAAGTAAGTGATGAAAAAATGGGATTCAAAGCGTGGCCATTCATTATGTCCATCCCGTAATTTTTCCCAGCTTTTTGTATATCTTTATTTTTCATCTTTTTTCAAATATATCTAAAACAGTTTTAGGAACTAGTTATATATGGTTTTGTAGAGAATTTCAAGCGCTATCTTTTGATAAAAAATATGTTTTAGTCAAAGCGATAATAGAGTAGAAATTTCGAAAATACTAACAGTATAATTATTCACTTGAAAACGCTTTCCGATTGTACAAAGTGATTATATTCTTTTTTTTCTTTTAAATAGTTTATTCACCCAAATGATCATTTCTTTTTTCTGAAATAATAACTCTTTACAACACAAAACTAAGCTTTTGTAAAATAATTATCATGTGTACTTTGTACAGGCATTTTCGAATTAAGATAAATGTCTATTAGTTTGGATTCAATATCAATTCAAGATGATTTGGAGAACTCTATCTAATCAGGATTCTAAAAGAAAAACAGAAAAGTGTATTTTTCAGCTTCTTGAAAACTTTGTAGAAATTATTTTCTTTTTGTTTTTTTGATAATGCCATCTTAAAGAGCGTAAAATTCTGAACAAAATAAGGGATCGCTGTGTTTTTTACGGCCTTTGCTTGAGAAGTTACAGGTATAACAGAAAACGAAAAAATGCAGCATTTTTAGCCGATTTTTTGATAAAATTCACTTTTTTTTTCATGTTTTGTAATACTCGTAACTTCTCAAGGGAAGGTTATAAAAAAACACAGCGATCCCTTCTTTTGTTCAGAGTTTTATGTTCTTTAAGATGGCATTATCAAAAAAAATAATTTCCACAAAGTCTTCATAAAATAAAAGGTACTCTAAACTTTTATTCGCCACTATACGTGCATTATGTAAATTCAAAATGCGCCATGAACATTCTGAAAAGAGTTCGTACCCCTAAACTGTGCTCATACGGTAGTTTTTATATGAATGTCGTAGTTCCTTTTAGGAACACCAAAAAAACAAAAACTGAATTTCGATTTGAAATTTTCGCATTAAACTATTTTCATTAAGATCTGTCTCTGTGCAAAGTTTCAAGTCGAAATTCGAAAATTAATTTTATCTTGTGTTTCTGAGGGAGATCACGGCATTCATTAAAAAAAATGTAGTATCTACTCTTTTCAAGGATTCCATTCGATTTATTTTCTCGATCAGAAACAATAAAAAAAAAATGCCTAAAGTCCTCAAATCTGTTTAGATTTATATGATTTTTAGTACAATCAAAACATAAAATATTAAATAGACTCTACAGTATACACAGTGAGAAGTTAAGTTGGACATGTGTGACAGATCTCGGACGTAAGATTTTATTTGAGATTCAATCGCATTTTGAATTTTTCTCAGAAAAAGGCTTATTATTATTTTTTTAATCAACATTTCCCTAAGAAATCATAAAGCAGATTATATGCTTCTCAGAATATTCATAGTTCATTTGAGTTCTGTATAATGTTCGTAGTTTCGATTCGGAAGTGATTTATTAGTTGGAAAACTTTTCTCGTAAAGT